CCTGTCTCTCAGTAAAATATCGCGATGGTGCTTTCCAAATGGGAGTTTCCCCAGTTTCTGAAGGGCTCTTAATTCTTTCTGAAATTATTTAAAATAATTTTTTTTTTTTGAGGCCTGTTTATTTTTGCAGTGTTGGGGCTTGAACCCAGGGCTGTGGCCTGCTAAGCAGAAAAGTCCCCGGTCCACTCCAAAGCCATCTGGTTGTCCTTGAAACCTTCAGGCAAGCTGTTGACCTTTGGAAAGCAAATCACAGACTATATTGAGAAAGCCTTGTCACCGCGCCTGGCCTCCRGAGAGTTATTTAGAGCCTGTTGCTGGGTTACAGCCGGGGCCCAGGGACCAGCAGGGTCACTGGGACATGCTGACAGTTGACAACTGTTCTGGACACAAGGGGCGGGGTGGGGGAATCTGATCCAGCCTGGGAGAGAGGAGGAAGCCACAGCAGCGCTAGCCAAGGGCACTACCTGCGAGGTTTTTCTTTTCTTTGAATTTTAATGAACTACTACTATTTTTTAAAATTCATTTTGCAGATGCTGACTATGGCACCCAGGGCCTGGCGCATGCGTGATGGATCTGGTCCGGCTGAGCTGCCTCCCCCAGCCCCTTGAACTTGGGGACGTTTTTTTTTTTTTTTTTTGCGGGGTCTACACCTGGGCTGCAAGTTGGGCGTGATCCAGGCACGTTCCTTCCCAGCCAGTGCTGGACTTGATATGGAGCAGGACCTGTCAGGGGCTGACCGAGAATTCCATCACTCTGGTTTATTGAATATGAAGACATATTAAATCTGGGCTTAAAAAATCACAGTACGGGTGCACGCCTGTCATTCTAGCGGCTCGGGAGGCTGAGGCAGGAGGATCGCAAGGTGGAGGCCAGCCTCAGCCACTTAGTGAGGCCCTGAGCAACTCAGCGAGACCCTGTCTCTAAATAAAATACAAAATAGGGCTGGGGACGGGGCTCAGGGGTTCAGTGCCCCTGAGTTCAATCCCCTAACACCCCCCAAAGAAAATACAATCATCAATTTTATAGATGGAGACATGTATAGACATTTTTTTTTTACCTTTTTTTGGAGGAATATATAGTATTTTTTTTTAAAGTTGGGAAATAGGTTTAGCCTTTTTTTTTTTTAATGCAGGGGATCAAAACCAGGGATATTTTACCACTGAGCCACATTCCCAGTCCCTTTCTTATTTGATTTTATTTTTTTAATTCAATGATTTACTTATTTTGTTACACATG